AAGCTGTCGAATGTCATCTTCAGGACTTCTGCAGGCCATTATGCTGCCCTTGGAATGTGTCAGCAGGGTTCCTGGACTGCCCCAGAAGGGTCTCAAGATGGCCCTCGAAGGTTGTCTACGGGGCATCGCGCAAAGTGCGTGGAGGGCACCCGTTCTAGCTTTTTGCCCAACCATCCTGTGTTGCTGGGCCTTCACTTTGAAGGGGCAGCGCCCCGCGCCCCTCACCCTTCTTCCTCCCCCTTCTTCCCTCGGCCCCCTCCTTGCGCCTGCTCACCGCATGTCTCTGATTCGGCACGCCCAACACAGCGTTTCGTGACCCCATAGAGAGCTCCACGCAAGGCCCCAGCGGCGGCGTTCGCATGCACCCCTCCCCCGTCGCGCACAGAACAGCGTGTCGTGTGGCTCCAGCGGCGGCGTTCGCATGTCCCCCCCCCCCCCCACCCACCCACCCACCCACGTCCAGCGCGGCGTTGCGTGGCCCAGTCTTGGGCCCCGCCTTTCGCCCCGGCGGCGCTGTTTGCATGCGCCCCCACCCCCCGCCCAGCGAAGGTTTCGCGGCCCCGTAGGGAGCTCCACCAGAGGCCCCAGCGGCGATGCGCGCCTGCGTTTCCCCGACCAAGCACAGCGTTTCGTGGCGCCACAGGGGCCGCGCATAAGACCCAGTGGCGGTGTTCCTCCTCCCCCCCCCCCCCTCCCCCCGCCCAGCACCGCGCTTCGTGGCCCCGTGGGCCCCGCCTTAAGACGCCAGCGGCGTTCGCGTGCGCCTCGCCCAGCCAACAGCGGGTTTCGCGTTCCCACATGGGGCCCCACCTAAGGCACCCGTGGCGGCGCGCGCATGCGCCCCCACCCGCCCAGTGAGCGTTTCGTTGCCCCATAGGGAGCTCGCCCTTATGCCCTCCCGGCGGCCGCCCCCCCCCCCCGCTCAGAACATCACTTCGCGCCCCCGTGCTGAGCTCCATCCGGAGCCCAACTGGCGACGTTCGCATGCGCCCCCCCCCGCCCCCCCCCCCCCCCCCCCCCCCCCCCCCCCCCCCCCCCCCCCCCCCCGTACACGCCCCCCCCCCCCCACCCACCACCCCGCCCCGCCCCGCGCAGCCTTTCGCGGCCCCATAGGGGGGCCCACCTTTAGCCCCAGTGGCACTGCTCGCATGCGTCTCACCCACCCAGCACGACGTTTCGCGGTCCCATCGAGAGCCCCACTAAAGAGCTCCGCCTGAGGCCCCCGTGGCGGCGCGCGCATGCGCCCCCCCCGCCCAGCGAACGTTTCGTGGCCCCGCAGGGAGATCCACCGAATGCGCAATTGACAACAACGGCGCTCCCACCTGCATATCGTTGGGTCCTTTGCCAGGCTAATGTTGGCAATCGTTACAGGGTCTCTGAGGGGTCAGCTAATGGCCATCGGATCTTCAGAATGGGGCTTTCAGGGGCACCTGTAGACCCCCTTGGAAAGTCTCTTGGTCGTCTTGCCCAGAAGAGCTTGAAGGTTTCTGGAGAGCAACAAGGTCCGTATCAGGTTTCCCAAGGGGCCCGCGGAATGTCCTGAAGGGTCTCCCGAGGGCCACATTGAGATGCCGTCCGCAAGTTTCCTGGCGATTCTTCTGGATGCTTGTCAACATACCTGTAAGGCCCGCTCACGACCCTGAAGGGTATCGGGCGACCTCCACGGGCCCTTGGGTTATCTGGAGAAGTCCTGGCAGGCCGTAAAGTACCATGGCGGGCCCCATTAAGAAGTTCTGCCATATCCTTGGTGAGCCCCATCAAGACTCTGCCCCCGTAGGTGCCTGGAGGGTGTTGTACGAAGCCCCGGAGGGCTTCCAGACCGCTCTTAAGAAGCCACAAGGGTTCCTGGTTGGCAACCTGAGAAACCCTAGAGGGTCTTTGGGAGGCCCCTTGGCATGCAGATGTAAGGTTCGCGAACGCTTGTTATTGCGGATGCTCACAACAAGTTGCTGCAGGGCCCCAGAACAACACACGCCTTACATTGAATTTCGGTGGTGTCTTCGTGCGCTCTTTTTTCAGCATATTCCCATTGGGTTTCCCGCAAAACCGCGCACCCATCGATGCGTAACTCATTCGTCTGCTCCCCGCACACATCTACGTTGCGTGTGTATCTTGTTCGCTTTCATCGGATCCTAGTCAGCGGGGTTCTTTTGTGCTGGAGAATATGGCGAGGCGTGTCCATTGCGCGTGTCACTATGTGTGAGATGATAACTAATGAGTTGAATAAGAAGCCCTCCAAACAACACATCCAATCGGAAGCGCTGTCACACGTAACACACATGAGTGGCGCGAAATCATGTAGGCACCCTTTGCAAGACAACAACACAGGGGGACGAACGACTGGACAATGCAAACGTTCACAACCCATATATCCAAACACGCACAAACAAGCACGGGTGACGTTGGAAACAACACAACTACAAACATGGCACAACGGCAAAACAACAACACGTTCCGTAATCGCTTGCGTCTCGAGACCCGAGCCGTTTGACGGACTGGCTTGTTTTGCCTTGAACCTCTCGGCCCTGTTTCCAGCGCGACCAGCAGCGATGGCACCCAGAAAACAGTCGTGGCTGACGACGCCTTCCAAGGCGCTGTGGGTGCGCCGCTCTTCGACGACTACGAGGTTGCGTGCGATGCGCCTTCTGAAGACGATCAAGATCAAAAACATGATCATCAAGAGGCTGGGCTACCGCATGAGGGCCTTGACGGCGCGGATGAACCGCATCAAGCTCGAGAGCGAGCAGGCATGGAAGGACGGGAACGAGAGCAACGAGTGGGCCGAGACGATCGCCCAGAGGATGGAAGACGAGATCCCGACGGACACGGACACTACTGGCTAGCTCCTCGGCGAGTTTCTCCGCAGCTCGGTGCGAGTTTCTCGGCAGCTCTGTGCGAGTAGCGCTGCTCTGCTCTGCGAGTTTCTCGGCAGCTCGGTGCGAGTGGCGCTGCTCCTCGGTAGCTGCAGTGCGAGTCGCGCTGCTCCTCGGTAGCCCTGTTCCTCTCCTCAGTCTGAGGCGGGCCGAATGACACCTCGACGGCGGTGCCTCTCGATACTAGGGCCGGCAAGGCGTCATCCTCGCCATCGCCGTCATCATCGCCATGAGCGCCATCATCAGCATCCAAGAGACCAACATCATCATTACAACCAACATCGCCATCATCGACATCGGCCCCCTCCTCCTTCTCATGACCACCACCATTATACTCGTTAGCAATCGCATCGTCGTTGCCACCATCCTCTTCACAATTCTCACCGTCATCCTGGTCAACAACATTCATACCACCATCAATACCGTTACTATTACCATCTCCATTGCCGTAATTGTTATCATATTGTGTATAGCTGCCACCCTGCTCTGCAGCGCAACCATCATCAATATCGGCATCAACAACATCATCATCAACATCACACTGCTAACCGTTCTCGTTGCAGTCATCCGCCTTGAACCCTACACCATTGTCTTAGTCATGATCACCATCGTCAGCGCCACCATCGTCATCGCCATAGCGATCGTAATCATAACATCGTCAGTAACATCATCTTTCTCATCATCACCATGGCCATCATCACTTTTTGTATCAACATCGTTACCATCATGTCTACCATAGTCAGTCTCGTCATATGCATCCTCAGCATCAGTGTCATCCGAATCATCGTCGTCATCATTACCACCATCACAATCATCGTCACCATCATTCGCTCTTGCTTGGGTGTTCCCTCTATGCTTCGGGCCTCGGTTTCCTGTTCGGTCGTTGTCCCTCCGCCGTTCGGTCCCTCTTGGCCCTCGTTTCGTGTCTTGTCGGTCCCTCGTCGGGCCCTCGATGTTACGAGTATTGATCTAGCTCTAGCCAACGGCCAAATAAATTCCTCGCCCTCCTTATCCTCGCTCTCCTTACCCTCGCACTCCTCATCCTCGCACTCCTCGCCCTCGCACCCTCCATCCCCGCTCTCTCCATCATCCTGCTCACCAACCTCGCCCTCTCCCTCGTCCGTGAGTCGAGCGTCCCTGGACGGCGGCAAGGGGTGCTTGCTCCCCTGGAAGGCAGGGTCGAGCGTCCCTGGAGGGTGGTGAGTCGAGCATCCTCGGAGGACGGCATGGGGATGCCGCCCACCCCACCAGCGCCGAGTTGCGCCCCGAGGGGGACAGAGGAAGAGGAAGTGGTGCAGTCCAGAGGCCCCCCCCCCCCCACACAGAAGTTAAGAGGAAGAGGAGGAGGTGTAGGAAACCAAAGCGATCGAAAGGGGGGCGTGGCAAAAAGGGGGGGTAGCCGAGGAGCTGGAACAAAGCACGTCTCGAACAAGTACCAGCACAAGCCCCAAGCATGTCTGCAACAAACCATACAACAAGTCTCAAACAAGAACGACGCAAACCTCAAGGACGTGCCAAACAAGTCTCAGACAGGCCCCAAACCAGTCCTACACAAGTACCAACAAGGTCTTAACACGTCCAAGCACAGGCCTCGAACATTCGTCAACAAGTCTGAAACAAGTCTCAAATGCGCTGGGCGTTGCCTTCGATGATTATTTGCGCTTCGCGCATCCCTGTCAGCGCCAGCCCTTCCAGAAACGACGCCCAAGCGAATTGTCTAGAGTATAGACATGGTGCTACGATAAACATGGTGCCCCAGTGTGTATGGCGTAACCAACGGCATAACAATTACATGTTGCGCCAACTGTGCCGTGCCGTGCCGTGGCCATACCATAGTATAGCATAGCATTGCGTTGCTCAGCATTGCACAATCAATGCACCGCACAGCAGTGCAACATACGGCACGCACATAGCATAGCATCACAATGCACAGCATGGCATTGCATTGCGCAGCTGGCATAGCATGCACGTTGAACACTCTGCTAACAGCAAACAACACGCGTGAACACGCAGCCGTTTTGGCTCTGCTCTGTGTTGCTGCAGGTGAGGTCCTAACCGAGTTCCCTGGTCGCTCTTCGCACTGGAACCACGTCCATGGCGACGGCCAGGGAGAGGCTCGCCCGCAAGGTTGTCGAGAGGCAGCTCGGCGGTGCGGCTGTAAGCGAGGGCGGTGACGACAATGACGACGCTGGCTCGGTCAGGACCCTGGGCGCTGACACCGTGGCTACTGGAGTGAGTGGAGCCCCGAGGAAGAGGAAGTCAAAGGCCCAGGATGCCAAGGAGCAGCAGGAGAAAGCTGCCAAGATTGCTCGTCAGTCAAGGTCGGTTTGCTGCTTTGGCACCTGCGGTAAGAAGTTGACTGCGAGTGACAAGAGGGAGAACAAGATATGCTGCCCAGTCCATTACAAGCCATGGGCCATCGGGTACGCGTACATGACAGAGGAGGAGGCTGGAACGAAATACGGCGACGATCCATCATTCAGGAAGGCCTTCGACGGCCCCTCGAAGTACATGGTTGACAACGAGATCGAGGTAGACAGATTCTCTCCGAAGCAGGTCGAGGATAGCTCTGAGCAGAAGGCTTCCTGCCAGCGTATCCTTGGCTGCTGGACTCGCCCTGAGATCTTTAACAAGTTGAAATATATGCCAGAACAGCTCGGGTACAAGTGCTTCACGCTGTGGGGCGTGTTCGGCACGCCCACCTTGGGCGTTCTCACAAGCGATCTTGAAGGAGCCCCTCGGACGTTCACATTCGAGTTCTCCAAGATGTTGAGTTTGTCGAATCCTTTGGCCCGCCCAGCCTCTACTATTCACGATGGGCAATGCGATTTGGCATGCGAGAGTGCCGCGGGCAAATTCCACGGTCAGCTCGACCCCAGCGGCAGCGCTATCATTTCTATGAGTACCTTATTGTCTCGGGCTGCGAAGAAGGAGACAGATAAGAAGTAGGCGGAGCGCCAAAGGCAGGAGGAAGAGGATGCGGAGCTTCGCGCCCTCAGTCTGCATGACGACTCCAGTCAGCTCGACAATGGTCGGGGCCCCTCCGCGAGGTTCGAGGCCGACGAGTTCGAGAAAGACGCTGACATCCTGTCCGTTGGGGCCGAGCCTGCCGCTGTGACCCCAGAGAAGCCCCCCTCGAGCGGCCAAGCACCCCGGGCCTTGTCAGGAACAAAATCCTTGGACAGCCTTCCGGACGCACCAAGCTCAGATCCCAGGCCGAGCAGGCTACACTCCAGATCACGGGCAGCCTTCCAGATATGATCGAGCAGGGCAGGTTCCCGCCCGAGAGGAGTGCTGAGCTCAAGGAGCTGGTGGATATCACCTCTCAGATGTCCTTCCCGCTGCCGAAGCGAGACTTTTTCTCGAGTTATGTCGCGCGCATCCAGCAGGAGAACAGCATTGGAAGCCACGTCGGCACGATGATCACGTGCCTGCGAGCGTTTCCATGCGACGTTGAGCGCGAGACTCGCGCCGCTGACATCAAATCTCTTCATGCCCAAGTCAAGGCGTACAACGAGTTCGGCGCGCAGTCGTTACCTGAGGACCTGTCAGACAGCATCGACCAGTTCATGGTCAAAGTGATGATTGCCATGGGGAGTGGCGAGGACATGGATATGATTCAGGCCGTGCTCGACTACATTCGGTTGGTGTGCGATCTTGGTCTCGATCTCATCGCTTTGAAGGGGGATTTGTCAGAGCAGATGGCGCAGTTCAAAATATGCCTGCCCGAGTTGTCCAACATCCAATGGGACCTCGCGGCGGTCGTGGGCTTCAAGAAGCACGGAGCCACGGCGGAGGCCACGTGGCAGAGCAGCAAGGGCAAGTCGGAGCTCGGCCAGTTCGTTGCCGCGAGTGCGGCCATGACTGAGGCCCACTGGCACCGATCTTGCGGCTGCCCTATAACTGATGCGCGCGGCCCTGCCTCCCCCTTCCCTTCCGCAACCTCCCAATCACCCCTCTCGACGTTCTCCCCTCCCCTCCTCTCCCCTCCCCTCTCCCTCCTTCCCTCCCCTCCCTTGTTTTCCCGTGCTCTCCCTCGCTCTCCATCCACTTCCAACTTTCCTCGCCACCTCTCGCCCTCTCCCCTCCTGTTCACTCAAACAGCTGGCCTCTGCGGAGGGGCAGGCGGGGGCAAGGTCGCGCGCGTCGGCGACAGGGCGGCCGCGATTGGAGGGCCACCCAGGCGAGTGCAAAGACCAAGCTGGACTTCTTCACTCGTTGGCGCGCGCAGGTGAAAGAGTTGGCCTTGGAGGTGGCCACATTTGATTGCAACTATCACGCCGAAGACGTCTTGCAGGCATGCGAGAAACACATCTCGCACTCCATCACCACGGGCGTCGATGAGGGCTTGTGGCACGACGGCCTCAATGACGCCACGACCCTCGACCAGTACTTGGAGAAGGCCAAGGAGAGCATCTTCAAGATCTGTCGGCCCTCGGCGCTCAAGACTGCGATTGACGTGGTGTCGGTGAAGCTTGCGGCGGCCAAGAAGAGCCGCGATCTCCACGGCGACAACGACGAGGGCCGCCACGCTGTGGTGGAAGACATCGCTACCAAGCTTGGTCGTGCCAAGGTGACCCAGGCTGAGTGTCTCATGCTCGCGTGCTGCAGGGACTTCGCCGACGCCCCGCTGAAGCTCAAGAGGAACATCAATATCCACCTCAGCAACCTCAGCTCCAAGGAGAGCAGTCTCACCCCGAAGAGTTCGATGCGCATATTTGAGGAGAAGGCTGATGTCAGGCGCAAGACAGAGCCCAAGCAGCCGATTTGCCCACCGTAGGTGGCGACAGCAAAACGGGCTCAGTGATGTGTGTTTTCAGCTATACGAGTATGTTGCTTGTGCGTTATCGCGGTGCCGGCTCTCGAGTTGCGCTGTCGACCGCGGCCCTTGGCGAGCGAGCTTCGCTCATGGCCCGCCTGGTCGCGTGATTGTGCACGCCGGTGTGTCCATGATATATATGCGCACGAGAGAAGTATGAATACCCAACAATACATACCAACAAAGATTATTGAACACATGATTGTTTCAGGCTGTTGCTGATCGCTGTGACAGAAACGAGTTGCCGCAGCCTGCGGCTACATACCTATTGCTTGGAAAGCATGAGATCGTCTTTCCTGCTGCCGCCGCCGCCCGCTGCTGCCGCGGAGGAAGGGGGTGGAAGGAGAAGGACGGACAGGGGCGATGGGGGAAGGAGGAGGAAGAGGGGGGGGGAGGAGGAAAGGAGGACGAACAGGGAAGGAGCAGGGAGGACGACTAAGAAAGAGGGAGGCGAGGGGCGACTCCCCTCCCTTTCCTCCTCTTCCTCCTCGCTCCTCTCCTCCTCCCCTTTGCCCTTTCGTTTGTTGGCTCACAACTACTACTGATGCCGGCGATTGGTGGCAATGCCGCTGCGAGCGCAGTGCCACCACCGCAGCCGCAACCCCGAACACCCACGTTCACCTTCGCAACAACCATAGCCACGACCAGCAAACCTACCGCCACCAATGATGCGCCAACTCACGCCACCAAGGCGCGACGCCACCCGCTCCAGCTGCACCGCGGCCTGTGGAAGTGCCGCAGCACGGATCACAACCATGACCACTGCCAAGCACGGACTCCACTCCAGGGCTCTCGTGCGGCTCACAATGCCACCGCCGCAGGAACCAGAGACTATGGCCACTACCACTACCATCGCAGCAACCCCTTCCACTGCCGCTGCCCTTTGTCACTATCAACCTTTATGTCATCACCCCTGCCGCTGCCGCGGCCGCGACCATACTGGCTCGCGCGGCACAGCTCGAACAGCCCGTAGAACCAACGACACAAACAACACCGTGTAGCCAACGCGGCAACACGAAGAGACGACACCAACATGAGGGCAACATCCCCAGCGACGGCATTGCTCCAAATCATGTTGGCGGTGACAAGCATTCGCCACGTGGCGCGGAAATGCCTGTTGGTGCGAACGCGCAGGCGGCGGCGGGCTTTCGAATCTTCCCCTCAGGGCGATCACGTTGTGCCGCCATGCGGCATTGTGATTCTTTTTCTGGCGACCATCTTGGCGACCACATTGGGTGGTATGTTTTGGGGGGCGACCATTTGGGCGACCACATGGGTTGCCATAGCGGTTTTTGGCGACCATTTGGGCGACCATATGGGTTACCATATCGGTTTTTGGCGACCATTCGGGCGACCATAGGGGCGACCACTTTGACGCCCCCCCCCGCTGTTGGGCACTAGGGGCGTCGCGGCCGTAGGAGACACGCGGAAACATTCTGCACGGCACTGTCGGCGGCGCGGCGCGCCGCCTCGGGCAGGCCCTGGAGTAGCTGGTTGACCCGCCCTCCTTTCTTGTACCTGACTACGGACCGCTCGGTCATCCACCGACCTCGGCCCCGCATGTCGCGGAGCCCCCGCGCGCCCGTCATGGCGTCGTGGGAGGCCCCGCCGTGCCTCAGCATGTAGAGCACCGGCAGCGAGTCCCCGACCAGGCCCACGGCGGTCGCGGCCGCCTCGAAGCCCTTCGCCCACTCGCGGTAGCTGAAGGGGAACACGAGCTGCACGCCGCCGTTGCCGCGAAGCCGGGCGAGGAGTCTCTCCAGGAGCGCGAACTCCTCCACGTTGTCGACGAGCACCGTCTCGTCGCGGGCGCCCGTCTTCGAGGTGATGGCGAGCTCCTGGCGGTGGAGGATCACGCTCCACTTGGGTCCTCGCTGGCGGGACTGTCGCGGAGGCGGCGCCAGGTCGCACTCCCGCAGATGGAGCAGCTCGCACGGCCTCAGTAATGGATAAAGGCGAAGATGACGGCGGCGGCCATGCGCCAGCTCCCGTCCTGCGCCAGCCGCCGCGCCACCAGGCAGGCCGCAGCCCGCGGCAGCGGCAGCCTGGCCTGCGGCGGGTCGAGGCGGGAGAAGCCCCGGCGGGCCAGCTGCACTCGCGCCAGGCTCGAGCAGCCGGGCCCAGCCTCTGGGCGGAAGTACGCCACCGCAGCCGCCATCTTGGACGCCGTGTTCGACCTCCAGCCGTCGTAGAACATCTGATTCAGCATCTCCACCAACGTCACCTCCAGATCGTCCAGGCGGCTCGTCCTGAGCCGCTGCTGCTTTGCCCAAGCCGGGAACCTGTCGCACTGGTCCCGGTGCTCGCTCTCCTGCCGCGCGGACGCAGACCGACGCTCCAGCGCGGTCCGTCGGCGCTGGGCGGCCCTCGGCCGCGGCGCCAGCGGGTGGGCAGCCTGGCGGGCCGCACCGCGCGACGCTCGCCCGAGCCCAGCCTCGCGGACCACGCGAGCCTGGCGAGGCGGGCGCGGGCGCCGCGCCCCCGCGCCTGGGAACGCGTCCGTGGAAGCGTAGGTCCCTGGCGAGCTCGTCGTGGCCGTCGTCGACGCCGCCCCCCCAAAACGTGGTCCTCGACCTCAGGGCAGGGCGGCTCGCCGAGGGGAAAGCGTCCGCTTGCTGGGTGCCCGCTCCGCGTGCCAGCATGCGCACCTCGGTCAGGCGGCGGCGCAGGCGCGGCCCCCGGGCTCCAGCCTCCAGCGCAGGTGCTCCGGCGCCCGCGCGAGGCCGCGTCGGCCGCGTCCCACTCAGAGGGCAGCCATCGCCACGCTGGGTACAGGTTGGCGGCCAGCACAAGGGCGGCTGACCGCCGGAGCGCCCGGCAGAGCCCGATGGAGGCGCCCCGGCCCTTGGTCCGCGAAAGGATCACGGTCATGACATCTCCGAGGATGAGGTGGCGCTTGTTGTGAGAAGAGGACGTCCTGGCCAGGTGATTGAGAGTCCAGGTCGCCGATCGAGACTCGAGGTGAACTTGGTGATCTCCAGAGGCCCATCGGAAAGAAGCGACTCGGCACCAGTCTCCCTCCCATACGTGTTCCGGAACAGGAGGTACCCGATCGAAACCACCACCTTCGCCCCGATGAAGATCGCCCCGAGGGATCATGACATTGTACTTGCGCACCCGACTTCGAGAAGCGCCGCCTATCGTTATACGAGCCGATGATTCGCACGCCCCTCGTGACGATCGTCTTACTTCATCAACCCGCACCCCCGGTCCGACGCATCGAAGACGTGAACTTTTGAACACCAGGGGGCGTCCAGCTCTCGAGCAGCGACGAAGACGAGCGAGGCCATCCAGCGAAGCTCCCGACACACTGAGGGCCAGAGCTGGCCCCGCCCAGACTTGAATTGCTGAGCGAAGGCGAAGCACGCCTGGGGCGCCGAGAGCACCTCGCGACGGATCAGCCCGCGCGCGGTGAAGTGACCAAGCAGCGCCGACATCTCGCGCCCGCTCGCCCGCCCCAGCTTCGCGACGTGCAGGGGCGCCAGCCGAAGCCGCCGCGCCGTGCGCAGCGACATCGATCAGCGGCCGTCCTCGGTGAAGTGCCAGCCGAGGGCGTCGCCGCCGACGCTCACCTCGGCCTCGTGCATCGGGGGCCCCGCAGCAACCAGGCGCCCACGCACCCCGTTGACGACGTCCCCCGCGACCGCGGGGCCCCTCCCGAAGCACGCGAAGTTGTCCACGTACTCCGCGTGGACGATCGGCTCGAGCCTGGGAGGCGGTCGTCCATCCACCAGCGCGTTGTGCGCGTCCACGTCGGGCTCACGGCGCGCCAACACCTCGTGCAAGGACTGGCAGGCCTGCAGCGCCCTTGCCCAGCCCATGGGCAGCACCACGATCACCGGGAGCATGCGGTCGCCCGGCTTCACGGCCTCGCCGCGCGCGTGCGTCGCCCCGAGCCCCCGCGCCTTGATGGGCTCGAAGCCGAAGAGGTCCCGCAGCTCCTCGGGCATCGCGATGGCGTAGAAGGCCACCTTGATGTCGGCGCCGCCCAGCACCAGCGGGGGCCCCGCGTCCAGCTGGAGGTTGGCGAAGCACGCTCCGCACGCCAGCTGCGCAGGGTCGGGTTCCTCGAAGAAGCAGTTCGGGATCCTGGCGTCGATCACTAGCCGATGGGCGCCCGACTTCTTCCACGCGCTGAAGCACCCTACTCGACGACGAACACTGTGCCTGAAGTCGAGCAAGTTCGCGGCGTGGAGCCGCTTCAAAAACTCGATGTACACCTTGCGACTGCGCAGGGCGGGGTCAGAGCATGCCCGGCGCAAGCCGAGTTCCTGCAGTCTCGCCTCCCCCTCCACACCAGGAAGCACCTTATCTAGAAGCCTTTCTCGATCAACTCGCCTGCAGGGCCCGCCGCCTCGCTGAGCGTCGCCCGGTGAAAACCAGGAGGAGGTGGGTCAAAAAGGTCCACGCGAAGAGGGGCCAGCCTGGACGACGAGCCGTCGTAGGCCAGCTTGGACCGGAGCTCGTCGAAGGCTCCTAGTCCGTCGAGGTCCTCGGGGGGCGGCCCCAGGTCCACCACGCGCTGGCGCAGGTGATCCAGGGCGAGTCTTTGCGCCAACGTCGGTCTCGAGGCCGGGCGGGGAGACCCGCCGCGGGGCGCCCTGTGCGCGTCGTTCAGGGTGTCGGCGAGCTCGTCAGTGGCCGCGTCTATCGCCGCCTGACGCAACGCCCGCCGTCTCGCTGTCGTGCGGCATGCACGGGGGGGGCAGCGTCCGAGGAGCCGCCTCCGAAAGCCGAGGTAACGGAAAAAGGCCACGCTGTCTGTGATGCCCACGCCCAGGCGACTGCTCGAATTCGCGGGCCCTGTAGTTCCCGCCAGGCCCGGGCCCGAAGCCCGGCGGGTGCCTCTCATGTGCCATTTCCTCGCAAGGCACGGCGTTCCCCCCTTGCCTTGCGAACTTGTTTGAGCGCGCTCGCGTCGCGCTCCACCTCCCTCGCCACGAAGTCCAGCAAGTCGGGCGACACCATCGTCTCGCCCGCCTCGCGGTGCCGCCCCATGAAGACGTCGCTCTCGTCGAGCAAGCCCGCGCGGGCGCGGCCCTTGCCCGTCTGGTCCTTCTTGCCGTTCTTGTCGCCCGACTCGGGCACGGACCCGCCGATGGGCTCGCGGGAGTAGGCGTACTCTACGAGCTGGCGCTCCCGAGCGATCACCTCCAGGCTCGCCAGGTTGGCTAGCTCCAGGTTGTCGTAGCTCGCGGCCAGCTTCAGGGCGCGGAAACCGTTCTCGTGGATATCGACGCCCCAGTCGCCGCGCTGGAGTCGGCTGACCTGCCGCCACCAAGCATGGTGATCGCCGGGTCGCCCTCCTCGTCGGTCAAGGAACCTCATCACCCACTCCACGGTCCGGGGCCCCTGGATCGGCCAGTCGGCGAAGGGCGTCACCGAGGACCGCTCCACCGCGTGACGCCAGGTCAGCCTCTGGCGCCTGTCGCCCAGCAGCTCCACCGGCAGCACGCGCGCGTCGTCGTTGAACTCTAATCTCAGGTACCTCGACACGTCGCCGTACCTCATGCGCCGCACCAGCACAGCTGCCGGCCTGCGAGGACCCGGCGCCGCTCCCGGCACCTGGTAGAGGCCAGCGCCCCCAAGGCGCGGCATCCCCGCTCCTGGAAAGACCACCGACCCGCGCTTCAGCCCGCGCTGGGTCCCTGTGGCCACCCACACGAGCTCGTCGTCGTGAGGGGGGGGCGCGGCGGGGCCGGCCGCAGCGGCGCCTCCCGCCGCGGGGCCAGCGCCGACGCCGCCAGCCGCGGCAGCGGCCGCCCGCAGCGGGCCGCCGCCCCCGACTGGGTGTGCCCCGCCGTCTCCCTCGCCCGGGAAGCGGGGCGGCGGGATCGGCGCACGCGCCGCGTCGGCGGCCAGCGGCAGCAGCGCGCCTCCAGCGGGCCCGACACCTGGCCCGCCATGACGACGATCTCGTGCCACGAACTCGTCCCGAGCAGTAATCCTCGCCAGCCGCTGGAACTCCATGTCCTCCGCCGGGGTGATCTCCCTCCTGAACCGATACGAGTCCCGCGGCACCCCTGGAGGAGGCGGTCAGCGTACATCACTCCAGCGCACAGCCGCGATGTTGTGGTCAGTGCCTCCGTACGTCTCACAGTACACGTCACCGTCGGGTGTGGCCACCACAACTTCAATCGCTGCCGCTGGACTACCCGCCAAGACTCCTTCAACGTGTCGTTGGTGGAAGAGGGGCGCTCCTGCGTACTGCACCCACGCCCACTCCTGTACCACCTGCGCCATCGCGAAGAGCGCGAGGAACAGGTCGAGCCCGATCCAGCAACGTCCTCCAGCAGGCCTGGGCGCAAACGCCCGTGACGACCAGCACCGCGTGACAGAACACCCCCAGGCTGCCTCCCAGCAGCTCCACGGCGGCGCCGGCGAGCCAACCCGCCGCGCTACCCGCCGCTGCCGGAACCTCCGGCGCGGGGGCTGGCGGGGCCCGCCGAGGTGCGGCCTGAGAAGGGCTATCCTCCGGCGAGCTCGCGTTGCCAGCGGCCCGCAGCGGCGCCTCCCGCTCGTCTGAGCAGCAGGAGGGGCAGTGCAGCTCCGGCGCCGCCGGGCACTGCAGAGCCGGGCACGCCGGCGGGTCGGGGCACCGCAGCCCCGGGCAGGGCGGGACCTCCGCGCAGTGGAGGTCGGGGCAGCGCAGACCCGCTGCCTCCTCGCGCCGCCAGGCCCTCTCGAGGCCGCCGCGCGAGCACCAAGCTGCCAGCCAGGTTATTGCGGTCGATGCTACAAAGCTCGGGCGCATGATCAGCTTGAGCCAGGATGGGAACGGACGGCCCTCTCCTGCTCTGTACGTCACAAAGATACGCATCTAAAGATCGAGTTAGGAGGAGGAGGAGGAGGAGGGTGGAGGGATAGAGGATCGACTGGCGAGGAAAAGGCTCGAATATCCAGAGGAAGATGAGAAGGAGAAATCGCGGATTGAGGATCTGAGAAAGGCTAAAGGTATATAAAGATGATTCGAAGACCGATGATCGAGGAGGCGGAGAAGGGACTGAGACTCGAGGAGACGGAGGGACCGAGGATCCAGGATTGAGTGTCGAAGGGGAAGGGTGGTCGGTCCTCCTCTTCCTTGTCCTGGCCCGCAATCCCCCACTTTCCTCTGGCCCCCTCCTCTCTCCTCCTCGATCCGTCCTGCTTCCTGTCTACGTACTCCCTGTTATCTCTCTTCTCCTCCTCCTCTTCCTCCTCCTTTCTAATCATCCTCATTATCCTGCTGCTGCCCCTCGCCGTCGTCCTTCTTTTCCTCCGCCTGGCGTGCGAATGCGAATGAGCCCGGTGCGCCAGGCATGCCATCTGCGCCAGGCTCGCCAGGTGTGCCAAGTGCGCCAAGCGCGCCATCTGCAAAAGCCTTGACCAGGAGATCTGCTGGAGCCGCCAGGGCCGCCCACCCCTGGGGGGCCTGGCCTTTGCTCGGGCCAGCTGGGCTACACAAGCTCGGCACGGGTGCCTGAGCGAGGGCGACCTGCACGTCTGGGCCTTCCGCGAAACTTTTGTTCACATCTTGGACCATTATGTTTGTCTTGTTATTACAAGGGCACCAAGACAGGTTCTGCATCTACAGTTTGCCAACTGCTCTGTAGACAAGGAAAACAATCATATACAGATTGCAAAGTATATTGTAATATATACCTGAGAAAACCAATCAGTGGATGATTTGAAAATTAATGCTATGGATATTGAGATCGATTGTGAAATCGATAATGAGATCGATAGTGGAATCGATAGCGAGGACGATTGTAAGGTCGATCGTGAGACCGAGAGTGAAATCGATTCAGTGAGATCGATAATGATATCGATCGCGAGATCACTCATGTGATCTCTCATGAGATCGCTTGTGAGATCGATAATGAGATCGATTG